ACTAGATGAGGTCCTCAACTACGAACCTCCAACCAAAGGCACACCAGATGCCGGTGACGATACCGCAGCTAATCTGACCGGGATGGGGCAGGGATTCTTCGACATGCCCATGACCGAGGGGCTGGAACCTATACCGACAGAGTCCTCCGACTTTCTGAACTGGCTAGACAATGCAACGTGGAATAATGCGGTAAGCTGAACAGTCACATGCAGAAAGAATTTGCTGACCAATCCAGGACTTGTTCTGAGTGTAATCAATTGTGTCAACAGGACTGCAAAGCCTCGGCCAACTAAAACAAACCATCCAACGCCTCATACTCGAATCCCGATATATTATGGAAATCTGACACAATGTACGCCTCGAACCGCTCTTCCAGCAACATTATTCCCAGAATTTAAGCATGCGAACTATTCCACGCATCATTCCGAAACCCACATCCGGCAATCTTACTCCTCTAAAGGCGGTGAATCGTTCAAAGCCCGGAGAAGTACGCCGCTCTCGCAGCAGCTCTATTCTCACACTCATCGACTTTCTTTTGCGCTTCGTTGCTCGACTGCGACGTCGCTTCAGCAGCTGCTATCTGTATTAGCTAGAGTTCCAATTCATCAACGGATGTATGAACATACGCTTTCGGTTCAGCAACTTTGCCAGAATACTTTTCGACGTTGATTTCGTTGAGACTAGAGAGTTCGCATCGGAAGATGAGTATGGCGGTGGTGCAGTGGTAGAATAGCGTGGCAGATCGCTTGGTGAGGTGGTGTTGGATTGAGAAGACATTGTGGTGGTACTTCGGTAGCAGTGACAAGTAGATGTCGTATTGATAGTGCTTGGAGATATCGAGAGGCTGGGACAGTTGATTTAATGTATGCGGCTGCTCTCGTTGACAAGTATGACTCTGCCATTGATGTTCCACATGTCTTCTTATATGCAGACTCGTCATATCACTACCGATCAGCTCGGAGACCCTATCAGGTTCGTCATTGCCCTTTCCAGCTGCTTCGGAATTCAACTTGACTCTTCCCCACTCAGCACAAGCCATGAACTGCATGCCTTACACATTTGGTGCAGCCCTCGGAGTACCTACTTGGCGGGCTTTGGTAAGCGAGTGCAAGCATCGTGGTGTCAGCGCTAGGCAACAGTGTTAGGCGTCCAATGCCGAATCGCGGCACTGAAGAACGTTGCATGCACAGATGTCAGGATACACGCGTCAGGTGTGTTTTGCAAAGTCTGACTGGTTTTCTTGATCTGGATTGTCTTTTTTTGTTTGCATGTATCCTTATGGCTGCATGGTGACTGAGAATCTTCGGAATGAAAATAGTGCCGATGATTTCGCCGGTAGGTTGGAGACGGTTAGCTTGACGTGTTTGCTCCGATGGAAAGGGCGGAGTCTAGAAGCCCATGACATTCAAAGGGCACATGCGACCAAATGAGTCAGATCCAGGCATGTTAATGTTGACAATGTTCTTGGATGCGATAAATGCGATGGAGCTGTGGGAGGGCGTTTTCCCTATCACGCAGACTTTGATTCCACCTAGGCGGCTACAACGAATGTCATTTGTTGAATGCAACAGGTTTTGGCGCCTGTGTCAACTGCAAAGTATTTACACGAAGTTTCTACGGGCCTCCCTTGGACTGCATTCAAGCTAATCAGACACACTGCGAGTAGTAATCACCTCCGGCCTTGCAGGTAAGTCCTGAAGCACCTACACAGCGTTAGTAAAGCCTTATTTGCACGTTTTCTCAGCTCATCCGACTTACAAGTTTTGCATCCAGTGAAACCATTTCCGCCGCATTGGCCGTACCTTGCAACAGAGCAAGCGCCAGAACCACCTCCATTCGTTGGCACAGCGGCGGCAGAGGTGGCTACCGCTGACGTCCTCATCGTGGTTGCAGTAGCTGTAGCAACTGGCGCTCCACCAGTAGCAGTGACAGCTGATCCAGCACTACCAGCAACGGCTTCTGTACCACCCGCGATGACTGCCGGACCGGGAGCGACGTACGAAGCGAGGTTCTGGTAGATGTTGATTTGGATACCGGGGTCGGTAGCCTTGTATGCTCCAGGGAACGATACGCCAGCGGGTGAAGAAGATCCACTACCAGTGACAGTGATCTGGTAGCAGGTGATGTAGAATTGGGCGCCGTTGGCACTGCCTGCAGCATGTAGCGCAATAGCCTCCGCTCTCAGTAGATAATCTCCAGGGGCCAGGTTGGTGGGAATCTTCACATCCATCTTTCCACAGTTCTTGTTCAGATCCTTAGTACCCCAGTAATCATCCGAACCGCCACCGCCACCGCTGTTCTTCGCCCATGTATCCTGGAAGACCTTGAAGAAGGGGGTCGAACCATCCGCTGTGGATGCGTCTGCAACCTTGGACATGTAGACCAGAACGGGGCCGTAGTGGGCTCCGCCGATGGCTTCGTTAGCGCATGAGCGGTCGCCGTTCTGCTGGTGCATCTCTACGGTGACGGTACCACCGGCAGGAACGCTGCATTTCGAGGCTGCTGGACCGCGGTTGGCGTTGCAGCGGATGTCGTTGCTTGCTACTGAGGTGACGGGGCTGTTGCCATTGGGTAATCTTGCGCACGTCGACTGGTGGATGGATGTCAGCGGTTGATACAAGACACTTGGGGGTACTTATCTGATCTACACCGTTTACCCAAAGCTGCTGAAAAGTGGCATGAGAGGCTACCTGTGTCGCGAAGGCAGCAACGCCGGTCAAGATGATTGCACTCTTCATGATAAATGCTCTGCCGATGATCGGTGGATGAAATGAACGCAAGTGTTGTGACTGTTCTGGGATGGTATCGAATTGAATACCTACCTATCGTCTCTTTATACTTGCCTCTGTATCCCCTAAGAAGTATACAACATGCTCGCTTACAGGTGGAGTGTAGCCCACGGTATCGATCTAGGCGACTACACCCCAAGAGGCAACATTCTAGAGTATGGCATCGTCGTGTGACTTGCGATTATATGAAAGCAAAGCTTGTCAGTGCCGTAACCCGGGTTCAGTTTTCCACGTGTAACGTCCTGCAGGTGGTGTGGAAATTAATCAGTGCGCCAAAGGCAGCCATTCAGTGTTGACTACACCGAAACTGGGCTCTAGATTCGTTTGACAGGTATGCTTTTGGGGGTGTCGTGCAGGCTTGCTTGCATATAATGCGTGTGCTACGAGCCACCGGATAAAGCTCCCGTCGGTTCGGTTGGGCGCAAGTCTTGTGAACGTATGGTAGCCTCTTCTTCGCATCTCTGCGGTTTGGGATCGAGAATCTCAACACTCGTAACGCGTATGTACTGATTGGCAGTGGTAACCATGCTGTTCCTGTGGATTGCAGCCCCAACACCTTCGGCAACTGAACGTTCGATTTTCACATTGAATTCGCGAGACCGTGATCTAGGGCGATCGGGCGAGACATCCAGGTCTTAGGGCGACGAGTTATCGAAAGCAATCTGTTTAGATGAAATTCGAGAAGCGACGCGTGCCGCGTTTGCGCATTTCCCAGATCCGGTTCTTCGGTTAGAAAGCTTGTTTTTCTCCTCTTCCCAATATGGCGTCGGAGGTGATAGAAGGCTTAAGTCCAGATGAAGTGACCGCCTGAGAAGTGCGTGCTCGAGTTGCAGTAGGTAGAGTAATGAGTCGGCACATGTCTGGCTACTGCCGATGTGGGGACGGCTAGCACGTTTGGGGCAGGGGCCCCGGGGGCGCGCACGACGCACACGAACCTCCCTCGTTCCTTCATCGACGCACATCTTTGGTCGACCATGGTGTATTTCTTTATACAGGTTTCGATGCGTGTGCCATTATTCCTAGTCGTTATCGTCGATTGACCATCTTTCTACGTAGCAAAGTGCCCTCTTTCGCATCTGTTGCCATTCCCGGGAGTACAATTTTCTTCATTCACGTAGGTCGACCTCGTTGTACTCTATTCATGCCTCAATCTCTTATATGTGTTGGGTTGTAGTCTCTCTGATCTCTTTGTTGCTACATCATCCACCCCATTGATGCCCACGTAAGTATATCAGCAACCTTTGTCTCTCCTCTCAAGCCATCCTTTCGTTATGATCATAGCCTCGTCATCCTTCAGTCTTCACCATCTTTCTCTTCGTCAAACCTCTCGCTTCCCACAGGCCACACACGCACAGCCCGCCTTCACCCAGCAAAATAGCAAACGCCCACACTCACCTTCACCTCGCCTCCCCACCGGTCCAGCCATCTCCCTCCACCGCCTATTTTATACAGAGTATACCACGAACTCTCTCTCGCTATATAGTCCTAGATCTTCTACGTCCCTCCATCGACTCGGGATGGAAGACCTGATGATCGGCCGGAAACGTGCAGCATAGCAAAGGAGTGGGTAAGACCACCGCCAACGCTGGGTCGCTCCCAGCTATGTTGGAAGCCGCGGGTTCGAGTCGTGATAAAACCACTTCTACACTCCCCAAGGTGGCGTCCTGGCATGGCATCTTCGGAGCATGCCAGGATGCCGACTTGGGGAGTGTAGCGGAGTTTTCACCAGACACTTAATACCTCAAGGGTGTCTGTTCTTTTTTGCTCTTGCCTATGTCATTTTATGCCTTCTTTCACTTGTAATAGCGGAGAAAACATCTGTGCTAAGATAGGAACACAATGCCAATTAGGTGCTCCGTGCATTAGTCTTAACGTAGGTATGTTGTCTACGTATCCTATGAGCTAAGCATATGTAGCAATCTACTTATCACTTCATAATATGTACTAGAAGATAAGTCAACAACAGCGTTCTGTTATTGGATAAGTTATAGATATAGCACATAGTTATTAATTGCAGATAAACAAACAAACGAAATCAAGACAATAGAAGGAGAACAGTAGGTTGTCTTGAACATGTTCGGTCATTGGTCATGTAGATGAATTCTTAATCTTCAGTAGCATGATGGTATGCTACTTATACATCCGCTCGGTGTTTTGAAGTCATCAAATTCGTGAAGATACCGCACCCCAAGTCTATACATCACACCTTCTTAGTCCCTCTTGAGGGGTGTGAAGGTCTCGGCTATGCCCTCGTTTGTAATGATCATCATCTGAAGGCCATCACCAACCTCAATGTGCCTCTCCACGGCGCTCGTGAAGGCGTCCCGTACCAGGTCCTCGACGTGATCCCGCGGTAGCGGTTGTGCTTGCTTCGACTTGAGTTCGTGGCCTGTTCCGCTGCCTGGCTCGTACATGTTCTTGAAGTTGACCTGGTTGTCCAAGAAAGGCATAATGAGAGATGCCGCAGCGCCAGCCGCCCTGCACTGCTCCCTCTCGTAGCTGCCGACCGGGTCGTAGGAGTACAGTGCACCCTTGCCCTCCTCGTCCAAACCAGCCAGGATGGCGTGTACGTAGTAGGGGAAAAATCGCTTGTTGTAGAGAATGTGGCTGAGTCGTTGTGCGCAGGCGGAGACGGTCATGGGCTTTCCGTGCTGGTACTTGTACATCTTGACGATGGTGTCGAGACGCTCCTTCAGCGCATCACCGTCGGCGGCGAAACCGACCACTGATAGCACTATCCTGGCACCCTTGTTCTCCGGTCCCTCGCCGCCGATCTTGAAGAGCTTGGGTGCGTATCGTGTGTTGATGTTGTAGCCGGAAGTCGAGCGTGTGTCGCCTGCGAGGATGGCGAAGTCGGCGCCGGAGATGCCCAGTGTTGAGCCACCGTTGTCCGTGTAGCTGCATTGTGTTAGCGGTGCGTATGTTCAGCATGGCGAGCCAGCGTACGGGTAGAAGCCATGTTGCCGCTCGCCTGACGGAACAGTTGTGGGGGTCTGCTTGAACGAATAGCCTGGGCCGCCTTGCGGAGGTGCACCGGTGTAGAGGGCAGCCATCTTCGAGTTTTGGAGAGGCGGATTTGGGCGGGGTTGCAGAGGTACAGTCGGTATCGGAAGGGGGTGGGCTGTTGCGACGCTTCTGTTTGTTGGTGCTGGAGCTCTGGAGTTACGCAGCTCGAATGCCTGGAGCTTCCGCGCGCTAGTGTCTTGGCGCCCATGTAGTGAGAGCATGCATTTACCGTCTGTGGCGGGCATGCACAGCAAGCGTCTGGATCAAATGTCTTGGGGTGTACTTCATTTTGGTTGTGCGAACGCCGCATTCACAGTATTACTACAAGTCTTCTCAGTCTGTGCTATCTTCTCCCCTCACCTTTTCTCTCTCGACCTTGATCGTCTTCTCTTCGGCGACCTTGACCTGCGCTCTACTTTGCTCTTTGTGCCCTGATCGTCCTTTCCTCTATGTTCCAATTCCTTGCGCTTTCCCGTAGCAGAGCTTGACGCCGTGCCCGTTCCACTCGACGCGCCAGTCTTGGACGCGGACACAAACTCAAGAGCTTCTCTCGGTGCCTTGGATTTCTCTTGTTCTTTGGTCTTTGCGATGCGCTTCTGTGAAGCCCTCAATTCCTCGACATAGGCCCACTCCGGGAAGACTGCCGGTATCGCGACATCTTGTGGCAGTGTAGATGCATATGCGTCCTCTTCGCTGATTCCCGCAAAGCCCATCAGCTTCCGCATGTGTCCCGGATCGCGTAGCACGGACGAGCCTTCCAGGCGCTGGTTGAAATGCTGGCCCTTCTTCTTGAGCTCTAGAAATTGCGCAAACTTCTTCGTCGCTTTCTGTGGTGGTGATCCCGGCGGAGAAGGCGGTATATCGAAGTTCGGTACGGTAGGTAGAGTAAGGTTCTGAATCAGGGCACGTGTAGCTGTGTGTGGTGAACCTGGCGCGGCTTCGTTCGCGTTGGCATCGTCCTCTGGAGGCGGCGATACTGTCGGACCTTGCGCAGGGCCGCTCACCGGACCCGACGATGTAGGCGGCTGTTCGAGAGGCGCGGGAGCGGAGAGAGGCGCTGGGGTAGGCGCGACAGCTGCAGGAATGTTGGTCAACTCTATATTAGTAGCGATCCGAGCCCTCTGCACAGATTTGCGGGTCTCACCTCTGGCTTAGTCGCGGGCACGACGTCCTCGTCGTCACTGTCTGGGTAGTCGATTCCGAGCATTGTGAGTGCGCAATGCTGGTGGACGATGCTCTCGGATTGACCTCAATATGCGGAGCTTGGGCCAGCTCCATGTCTTGGCGGGCGAGCTGCGCAACCACCGACTGCCTGACGAGCGTCGTGACAACAACAACCTCACCTCTGAGCCCACTGCGACATAGCACTCTCTCCGAATCCCGAACAACACCGTCTCTGCAGTTCTGCATTTCAGTCGCCTCTTCCACCATGAACCACCTGCCACAAGCTTGGGGTCGCGTATGTCTTCCGCCCGCCTCCAACAGCAACAGTACTAATGCATCGTAGCCCAGAGACGATGTATACGGCGCCTACGACCCTTCGCACTTCTCCGCTGCCGGCCCCAACCAGCACACCCAGAGCCCGATCGTCACGGGTACCTCAGTACTTGCGGCTAAGTTCAAGGACGGCGTAGTCATCGCCGCCGACAACCTGGGTATGGCACACTACTATAGGCAGTGAGGGTCTGGCTGACCATACATGTAGCTTCATACGGCTCCCTCGCTCGCTTCACCGACGTCAAGCGCCTACGAAAGTTCAATGACGAGGTCGTCGTGGGTTTCGGCGGCGATGTTTCCGACATGCAGTACCTGGACCGCCTACTCAACTCGCTCGACATCCGCGAGAACTACTCCTCCTCCGAAAACTCGCTGAATGCCAAGAACCTCCACACCTACCTCGCCAAAGTCATGTACAATCGCCGCTCAAAGTTCGATCCATTGTGGAACCACCTGCTCATCGTGGGCATGGACGGAGACAAGAAGCCCTTCCTCGCAAGCGCAGACCTTCTCGGTACCACCTTTTCATCACCATCGCTGGCCACTGGCTTCGGTGCACATCTCGCCCAGCCAATCCTAAGGACAATATTGCCAGATGAGGCCGCCGTGGAGAACGTCACAAGGGAGCAGGCGGTAGAGAAGATCAAGGAGTGCATGAAGGTTCTCTTCTACAGGGATGCCAGGAGTATGGACAAGTACTCGATTGCCGTCATTACCAAGGACGGCGTCGATCTCGATGAGAACGTGAAGCTGGAGAACCAGAGCTGGGCATTTGCCGACAGGATCAGGGGTTACGGTACCCAGGTTGTGTAGAGGGGAAATGATGTGCAAGACCGAACATAACGATCAAAAGCGCCAGCTCACTGAGTAGCTGAGGCTTGAATGATAGACATGAATGAATGTACCAATACCGGTATGAGTTTGTCCCAGGTCTTCTGCTACTAGTATACTGCATGTCCGCGCATTGTTACTAGATTTGGCCATCAAGACTCCATGCACATCGGCACTCAAGAGAGCCAACAAGGTTAGAGCTTCGTAAGCTAGAGCGGGGAAGCTCCGCCCAAGAACAACAAACCTGACGATCAGCACTATGAATTCTACGACTGGTTGTTCCTTATTTACATACTTATGAACGCCTTCGTCGGATCTCATTTACCGCTCCATCTCACGGATTCCCACGCATTTGCATGATGGCCTCTTCACAAACCAAGAGGATAGTATTTACGGGTGGTTCTGGAGTCGCAGGACGCCATGTAATTGAAAAGCTGCTTACCTTCGGCCACGAGATACTCAACGTGGATGCAACGCCTCTGGACAATCCCAATATACACACTCTAAAGGCCGATCTCACAGATGGAGCCCAAGCCTTCAACAGTCTGTCCTGCCACTTCAAGATTAGTGAACCCTTTATGGAGCCAGTCAAGACGCCAGATGTAGTCGTACATTTCGCTGGTACGTATCATCTTGTATCTCAGGGATAAACATCCTGCAAATAAGCAGGAACTTAGGGAACATAACCCGACTCTAGCAACAAACTCTCAACAAGACTAACCCGACCCACCCATCAGGCATCCCCCAACCCATGCGCCTCCCCGACAACGAAACCTACCGCATCAACACCCTAAGCTCCTACAATGTCATCGAGGCAGCATGCAAACTCGGCGTCAAGAAGATCATCCTCGCATCCAGCATAACCACCTACGGGATCACCTACGCCGAAGGCAACGTCTCCTACCCGCACTTTCCCCTCACAGAAACCAGTCCCACAAGCCCCATGGACGTCTACGCCACCAGTAAACTCTGCATGGAAACCACGGCCGCCTCCTTCGCCCGCCGCTTTCCCAGCGTAGACATCTACTGTCTGCGCATCTCCGCAGTTATAGAACCTGAAAACCACGCCAAGAAGTTCTCGGCGTATCTGACTCGGCCTCGGGATTTCAAGGTGCATGCGTGGAGTTATACCGATGCGCGCGATTTGGGGAATATGGTGCAGTGTTGTTTGAAGACGGATGGGTTGGGGTTCCAGATTTTCAATGCGGTCAATGATGAGATTACGGTGCCGGAGGAAGAAGGGAGCAGTGAGGAATGGCTGAGGAAGGCTTGTCCTGAGACGGAAGTGTTGGCCGGGTTGAGGGGGAGGGAGAGTCCGGTTTGTAATGCGAAGATGAAGGAGTTGTTGGGGTTTAGGGAGGAATTTGCGTGGCGGAAGGTTTTGGGTAGAAAAGTATAAGCTTATGCCAGAAGAGAGATTCGACGCCAACGCTATTGGCTAAAGTAGAGCATGAAAGATGACAAGAGGGTTGTGTGTTTAGAGGTGGATCTGTTATGGATTCCAGAGGTATCCCCCGTGACATTCGATGTTGTTAGCACAATGTGAGTTCTAGCAAAGACATCTAGAAAACGACACCAACGGTAGTGCCAAAATCCATATCGATGGTTTGTCCATGCTGGACTACTGAAGAAAGAGGTGAAACTCTTGTTGAACGTCATGATTAGCGGTCCACTGTGGTGAGGGACGACTGCGCCGGGCAGGACGGAGGAAGTAGGCGCAAGGCAAACGTCAAACCATGCAGATCCAGTCTATCTTTACCATGTCAGAAGCGTCCGGCTCAGTCTCAAACTTCTGGTGCCATTGAAGAGCACAGAGCCTTCTCAACCTCGGACTGCTGGCGCGGCGTTCTTACGCATCTGCGATATTACGCAATATCAGGCTGAAGCCGTCGAGTCGGCAACGTGGCATCATAGCTAGGCAGGTAAGACCGTTCCAACCCGACGTCGTCGTAGCGAAGGCACCATACGGTCTGACCTTAGTACCTCGGTCCTGAGACGACCGCGGGAGGTCGTGGTGTCGGCAAGATCGACGTGCGCTGAACTTTGAAACGCCCGCACCCTGGATTAGGCCCTCAGTGAACTTGGTCTGTGCGTATACGCCTTAGGGGCGCAGCAGACATGCGCTTCGCATATCAAAAGGGTCACAAGGCTCAGACGTCGCGACTAGGCTTTTGCTGTGCCGCGAAAAAGCAATTCCACAGTATGTTGCGCCCCATACCGGCGGTCGGCCTTGCAAGTGCGCTCATCCAAACTATCGACTTCTCCATCAACGCATTACGCAAAGACCATCCCATCTTCCAGCCTAGCTCACCTTCGACAACACCGCTCGTGGAAAATGCAGCCTTCCTACAAGATATCATACACAATCTCTATCGCCTGACCGACCTAATTGACAACTCTGAGCTCAAAGAGCTGTACGACGAAAAATCAGCAAAGAGCGCAAAAGCAGCCAAGAAACTTAGCGAGGCAGCGCTGCAATTGCTGAAGCATGCTGAGCTAGTCAAAGAATTGACAGCTTCATTCATCGACGCGCTAATCGCGGCGCAAGAGAAGGGAAAGTTTGGTGACCCGCGATGGCCCACTGCGCGCGAAGCATTATTGAACGGCGTGTGGAAGAAGGCCAATGTGACAGGTACAAAGAAGAAGTACCGTGCCCTTCGTCGCGATATTGAGACGAGTTTACTGCTCGCTATGCGCCAGTATCTGGATCAATCCATTG